ACTCGTTGGCACAGAAGGTTGAAGAAAGCGCATAAGCGGAAAATGGCTATCCTAGGACCCTTAGGTAGTAAACCTCTAATAGAAACTGGTAGCAGATGTTGCATCAGGACGTGGTAATCATGAGATTTGAGTCTCATCACTTTACACTCGTCTAATGATACAAAAGTAGATATGTTAGAACAATAGCCATCCGGACCTTTAAAGTCAAAGAACCGCTTACAGAATGTTTTCTTCTCTAACTTTGATAAAGACCAAAGAGCTGCGGGAAGTAATCTTTTCTTCCATCTGGATAACTCCTCTTCGTCTTTTTCTGCTAAGTCTTCTTCTTCATCAGATGCACTGTCTTCGTCTTCACAATCAGATGATATGTCAACACAAGCAGCTCTATATCTCTTTCTCCCAGTCTCTTTTCTATTACCAAAATTATTCTTGTAATTTATCAGTAGTAAGGAAACATTCCTACCCGTGAGTATCCTTCCCTTTATTCCATGTTCTGTTTTACCATCAAACCAAGTCTTCTTTCCTCGAAAACTATGTAACGAAGACAAACTTTTCATGTGGCACATATATACATGCTTCCTACTATGACTCAGCCACAAACTATCTGTGTGCTTCCCACATATAGGACAACCCATTTTACCCTTTACTTTACAACCAGCAAGATTTCCATATGCTGAAAAATCACTAATAGTCCAAAGAAGCATTGCCCTAAACGTAAAGGTTGTTTTACTAAATGCATCGTAAGCTAACTTGCCTTTAGACCACAACTGATTTAAATCTTCTATAAGGGGTTCTAAGTATACATCTATACTATTACCAGGTTGATGCGGTCCATGAATCAGCAAACTGAGCATGATGTTCTCCTCCTTCATACATAGATCAGGAGCCATGTTATAATTAACCAGCAACACAGGTCAACAACTGTATCGGCTGTTCTTCTTGTTGAAGGGATTAAACCCATCAGTAGAAAGCCCAAGTCGCAAGTTCCTCTGCTCAGCTGCGAATGAAGGATACTTGTCATTCATTGACTTCCACGTCACAGAGTCTACTAGATGGCGCAGTTTCCAGTCAATGCTCTTGTTACTGAAATTCCATCTCAAATTCTTGGCCACTTTCTCCGATCTGAACATCCTTTTCAGACGAGGGATTATTGGAAAATACCTCAAAACTTATGTGGAACACCCTTCTTTACTTCACCAGTGTGCATGTTGGCCTTCCATCTTGAAGCCTTGCTTTTTGGGCAAGTGTCAACCTTCTTCAGCTTCTTTCTGAATAAGCAGCAATCGTTCACACAAGCATGAATCTTTTGATATCCCATATCAAACGTTTTCAGAAACTTCTTGGCGTCATAAGTTGATGTGTGCAGCACATTGTTTTCAGGTAACATGTTTGGCAATGTTTCCAGTAAATCATCAAAGCTCTTGTCTGACCATCCATTCTGAGTCTTTATCCTAAACAGTGAAACTATAGTTGATAGCTTGCTATGATTCACACACGTTGGGTACAATGGCATTTCAGCTTCGGCAAGTTTTGCTAAAATCTCATCTTCTTTCCTGTCCTCACCCTCAACAGCCTCGCATAAATCTGAACCCTTACTAGCTAAATCTTCATCTAAACATTTTGCAGCTTCGTATAAACCCAGAATCTCAGCATTCCACACTCTATCTTGACCTTCTACTACAGCAACAGAGTTACCTTCTTCATGGTGAAACCAATCAGTTCGTATCTTGTAAGCCTCATCCATTCTATTTATAACTAAATGAGACACAACCTCGTCGCATGTATAGCGATCTAAATTACGGCATCCGGCGCATAGATATATTATCTTCCATCAACTGCTAATTTGGCAATAACAGCGTTAACAAAACCCCGAGCACCACTCTAGGATGCAGAATCAACTCTTGAGTTCATGTAAATCAAATGAAGAGAAAAAGACAGTTATCAAAACAATTGTCCAAATGCATAAACAGAACACTTTTAACAATTGTACATACCTGCATAAATGCACCCATGCCTTGTCCAACATTTTTTTGTTACAATCCTAGTTAGAGCCTTTGCCACAGTTCAAACAAGTGCACATGATTCAAGCAGCAATGACGACAAGTTAAACATCATAGTGGATAACCGCAAACAAAAAACTTATATAGTATTTTCTACAATCAATCACGGAGACACTGAAGCTATAAAAGGCTACAAAAAAGGCAAAGAAGTCGATAGATGTGTCTAACCTTTATAGTGATTGTGTTGTACTTGTGAATTCTTCTCCCGATATCTCAGAACTTATTTTCCAAATATACGAACACACACCTGTTAATAAGAAGCAGTAATTATTGTCCAAATACAACAACGAACGATTCCGAGAAACCACAATGATGTCTATTGCTACTATGAACTCACTTTTATTTGCAAACCTGACCTTGTCAATCTGGGATTGGAATCAGAGGTGAGGAGGGCTGATGTGAATTGCGAGAGTGAGAGAGATCGAATTGCGATGGCAAGCAATGGAGTCGGCGGAGATGGCGAGAGATATCGAATCGCGATGGAGAAGATAGAGTCGACGGAGATGCCGACATTTGTCTTTCTTTTTTTTAATTTTTTTTTTCTAAAGCTATGAATAATAATGGTTTTGGTAATAAACTGCAAAAATGCATCTTTTTTTCTAAGTGTTGGCGCTTAATGCAAAAATTAGGCGGATTCACGTGTTATTAGTGGTCGCTTATTGATTTTTGGGCATAGCATTACTGTAAAGCTATAAATACATTATTCAAACTTCCATTTAACTTTTGATAGCAGTTATGGAAATTGTGCTATTATAATCTGCTATGAATACCCATATTTGTTGTAGTGCATTGTTAATAATTCTTGAAGTTGTAGTTTGCTATCTCGCTAACAATAGTTTGAGCCATATCCCATGCATTGCTTCCGCTTGTGCAACCTTTAATGCCTCTCTAGGATCCCGATCAAAATTGCAATAAGTTTTATCGTTTCTTGCTTTCCAAATATACCACAATATCCATGGAAACATTTTCATCCCCGCGATGTTTGGTAGATGCCAAAACAAATGCGTCATATTGGTATATATAGCTGTCAAGGGAAACCCTACTAATGGCGTGGGTATCAACGATAAAGCCCATACATGAAAGGCTGGTAGACATTTGAATAAGGTATGATTTATAGTTTTGCATTCTGCTCCGCATCTTTGACATTGTGGATAACAGTTGATTTCCCTGTTGCTAAGTCTATCCATTACCGGGATACATCCTAAAATGACTTACCATAAAAAATGCTTCATCTTAGGCAGACATTTAACCTTTCAGGCATGACCCTGCATTTGACTTATGTTTGGTCCAAAAAATTATTGTTCGATATTATTGGTTGGATTTTCCTGTTCGATGTTATATCCAGACTTAACCGTGTATCTTCCAGATTTTGTGTAGTACCAGGTCATTAAGTCTGGCCTTGCTTCTATTGTGGTTGAAATACGCACGATGAGAGGGATGTCCTCTGAGGCAATGAGTTGCTCAATTAGTGGTAAGTTAAGTTTTTATTGAAAAATTAATCAAATCTTTGACTTTGAGCTCATGGTTTAAATTGTAACCCCGCCATGTTACTGATCTCAGACAAGTAGACGGTATCCATAGGTCATTCCAGACAAAGATAGAATCACATGGACCGGCTCTTTTGATTAGCCATTTGTTAACCAGAGATCCAGCCGAAATAATGCTCTGCCATCTATAAGAGGCAGAGTATGAATATATAGTGTCCAAAAAGCCTCCATTCCAATAATATTTTTTTTTGAAAACTTTCGCAAATAACGACTCTGGTTTATCAATAAGTCTCTAAAGTTGTTTTGTCAATAAAGCTGTATTAAAATCTTCTATTATCCGAAAACCTAGTTCTCTTTCCGATTCGTGCTTGCATAATTTTTTCCAAACCAACCAATGCATTCCTCGTATTTGTATAGTCATACTCCACCAAAAATAACAGGATATTGTATATGTTGATATTGCTGATGTGATAGACTTAATCGGTACCTCTTTTTCTCCTTTGGAGAGTAAGCAAATGTCTATCTATTTGCCCATTTTTGTTGTCGCTTAACAAAAAAAACTGATTTTTTTTTTATTTTAGTTCCTTGTAAACTCTCTGAAATCCCTGGCCAGTCCCCCCCCCCCTCCAAACATTCAAAATCCATCAAATTGTCGTCCTTTAGTATTGTTGGATCTACTGTGTATCTAAATTGAACCAATTTACAGATTTTTGCTGGTTAGATCCGATCTTCTAACCAGTCTAACTCTTTTTCGGTTTTATTGTTAACCTAATTTAGAGGTTCTTTCGGTTCAAAATTGAATTCAGTTTGACCGCCGGTTCAGTCCGGTTCTTTTCCACAGCTAGTGATCAGTATGACTAATTCAAGCTTTTTCAATTATAGTCGTCATCGAGTCCAAATATGATTGGAAAAAGATTAAATTTCAAAAGCAGAAAAAACGTTAAAATAGTTTGAAAGTAAAAGAAGAGAAAATTAAATTAAAAAAAAATGAGAGTTTGGTTTATTGTTCCCTCTCCTTCGAACATCAACACACACTCTTCCCGTAAAAGTCTCTCTCTCTATCGCAGATAGGTGCTTTGTCTCCTTCTTCGATAACTCCGATCACCTAAAAAAATACTTATAACGTTTCCTTTTGTTCAAAGCATTTCTCTTTGATAAAGAAACCTTCATAGCTTAGTTGCTATATTTTAAATCCTCGCATTTTCAAGGTGTTTTTTGCAATTTTTTTTATCCTTTTCGATCGAGTTTCAGATCTGAAATTCAACAATTAGGGCTTTCGAATCTGCATTGTGGATGAAGAATTTGGGTTTCAATGTAAAGATCTGAAGAAAATCCTCTGATTTTTCGATTTTGACTTGGAGATTTTGAATGGCTGGTTTTGAAGATGGGAAGCTTGTGGGTCTCGTGGCAATGATGTAATTTAGCAGAAAGTTGTTCGCTTTGAGAGAAGAAGATGGGATCTGGGCGGAGCAAATTATCTCGAGGCTCGTCGTTGCCTTCGACAGCGAGAGAAGACTCCGGCACGGCTCTACCTCCGTCGTCTTCGAGTGGTGGTGGAAGGAGGAGAAGATCAAAGAGTCTGCTTTGTTCTCTTCACTCTTCTTGCCTTGCTTCATCTTCTACTTCTCACGACAGTGACGATGATGATGAACAGGTCTGGCTTTAATTTGTGATTTATGCAATCTTCATTGCTTTTGTTCATAAAAAATAATCTGAAATTAGGTCATATTCATGAGTGTTGATTTCTTCAGGTGTGCAAGCTTCATGAAAGTGTCTCGCGGAGAAGAATGGAATCTAGGAATCAAGGAAATGCAGAAGATTGCGATGATAAAGAGTTAGAAGATGAGAAAAAACCTGAAAACGAAAGTCTCGAGCTTGATGATGAGTGTGCTGTTGAAGAAGAAGAAGAAGAAGCAACTGTAAGCACTGTGAATAATGTTGGCGGTTCGACGCAAGAATCTTCAACTCCAGGTCGCGTTTTCTCGCATTTCAGATTCCTCCCTGGTAACATAAGCTCCAGACTTGGCAGAGCTTCAAGCTCAAGATCATTCAATACTACTTATCCAATCACTTCTTCTCAAGAAGAAGGTGTTAATCCTCCACCTTCAGAGTCTGCTATTAGGCTCGTTGATAGAGCCGAGTCTCCGAGAATACCTGTGATTGACAATGTAGTTAGAGATATTGATGGCATGGACAGTACTAATGCTGGAGTTCTTGATAGAAGACATGTTGTTAGGGAACCTTCCAATTCCATTGACCGGAATGTTAGCTTTAGCAGAACCCTGAGTGTTGGACGACTCCGAGACAGAGTTCTTCGCCGGTCTTCACTCTCTGACGTCACATTCCGTCCTCAGCAACAGGGAGAAGACGATGCTGATCTCTCCTCTGCTGATACCGCAGCAGCGGAAGAAGCTCCTGTGGCGTCAACACCTATGCTAAACCGTTCCGCTTCCTCCATTCGAAGAGCGATATTCGGGATTCAAGAACCTGAAACTCCTGGCTCTCTTGTCAGAGATGGTGTGTATTATGGTGTGTTAGAGAACCCATCAGTTTTTCTTGAAAGGAGGAGGAGAATAAGATCTCAGGTTTGTAATAATTCTGTCAGATTTTTTTTTAAATCCTTGATGTTGTTTTTGTTCAACTCAAAGATCTAATGACTTGATTTCTACAGGTCCGTGCTCTTCAAAGATTGGGAAACGGGTTTGAGAATATCACTGGCCTTCATCATCATCATATTAGGAGTTGTGTCTTATCAAACCCAAATCAGTTAGGTCGTTGCACATGCCGCGAAATTACTTACCATCGTAACACCACAGCAACAGCTACAACAGATGAAACAAATGCAAGAGCTAGCATCTCAAGGATCGTATTGTTAGCTGAAGCTCTCTTCGAGGTAAATTAAAATACATGTTGTCTTCCCATTTAACAACTTTTTGCCGCACTCTTTATCTCTCTGTGTGCTAAGGGTTTATAGTGTAAATCATTTTAGGTTCTTGATGAGATTCATCAGCAATCTGCTGCCTTGTCCTCTCAACAACCATCAGTATCATCAATAGGATCTGTTCCTGCACCTCATGACGTTGTGGACTCATTACCTGTGAAACAGTATACTAAATCAGAAAGCGAGGAACCGTCACAGTAATGCCTACTGATTCCCATTGCGTTTACTTGCTCAAAAGTTTAGACGTTATGGTTAATAACTAAATGTTTTTCTTTTTTTCCTGGAATCTTTCAGATGTTATATATGCCTTGTGGAGTATGAAGAAGGAGACACTATAAGGACACTTCCTTGTCATCATGAATTCCATACGACCTGTGTGGATAGATGGCTTAAAGAGATTCACAGGTATGAAAATGATTCTGATTTGTGCCGACAGTTTTTCCACTTTTTTCGTGTCTGAGTTGAGATCTGATGATGCTTATATGGCAATGCAGAGTATGTCCTCTATGTCGTGGAGACATTTGTATACATGATCCATCATCTGAACGACATTGATTACAGTCTTGAGAGGTATGATTCTGCAAGAGACCAAGAACATTCATGGGTTTTTGTCTGGTAACTGAATCATAATGTTGTGTTATTGCTTGTTCTTTTGTACTTTACAGTTGCAAAGAAAAACAAAACAATTCACCCTTTCTATTTAAAAAATTGTAAACTTCTGTACTTAATTGATCCATCATATCTGTAAGAAGTAAATTTACTGATTTTGTTTGTGTGTTTTATGAGCATATTTGCTTCTGGATTGCATCTTCTGTCAATGTGGTCAAAGTCAGAAGCTTTATGCTCTCAAAAACATAAATTTTAAACTTTTTCTGTAAACACAAAGAAAGAGAAGATGGTAATATCAAGTCAGTGCAAATAATTCTATTTATTTTTTTAATGTATAAATAATTTTATCAGTTATACATCATATCTTAAAAGTTCAAGAAAAATATTCCAACGATGAATAAATTTATTTCAATCTTCATAAACATAAATATATATAAATTTTTTAGTCTTCGGTAGACACAGCAGGACAAGTGGGGTTGCAGTTCAGCAATGGACAATCTACGTTCTGAAACGTCTTCCGCTCATAGAACCAATCTCCAACCGCTTTCGCCATTTTCTGAAAATTATCACAAATATCTTAGAAATTCCAAATTTATCTATACTTTTCATTTTGTCTTTTGTGTAAAAAAGATCGAGTAATTAATTACCGTATCTCCGACTTGGGGGCCGTCAGCACCGGACCAAGTGGCGGCACTTCCGCCTTGGCAATGAGCGTGACACGAATCTAAAAACAATCCACTTGCCGTCGTTGCTCGAACTGGTGCCAATGCAGCCAACATTTGGTCTCTATACCCTGAGAGATTATATAATAAACCAATCTGTTTAGTCAAGTAGACATCAAACTTGACCCGGTTTAGTTTATCTTCTTTATATATATTACCTTGAACTGTTTGAAGCTGAGAGGTTGTACACTTCTTAAGATCAAGCTTACAAGTGCTCCACTCTTTGCGTTTATCAACAGCGGTTGGTGCCAAAACGTTCTTGATCTGCAAAACAAAACAAAAAACCCCAATTCCGAGTCAAATCTCGATTTAGTAAGATCATAATCTCAAGAAAAAGTTCATAATTAGATCAAAATCAAACCTGCCAAGAATCGAAGGCGGCATTGATGACGAAAAGTGGTGTTTGCATGGTCTTAACAACGTATTGCGGGAAGAAACACTGAGGAAACGATCAAAGATAGCGTTTAGTTATGCAATATAACCGACGCTCAAAAAAGTCTATTATCGACGATGCCTTTAATTGATATTTACCAATTCTGGCTTCATACTTGAGGTGCAAGAAACAGGGAGACTCTTTACAGATCCCTGCACATAGTGATCAAGATTAGCTGCTACCGAAAGAATCTGAGATTTTAAAGAAATGTGGTCGGAAGGGAGAGAGAGAGAGAGAGAGAGAGATCGTACGTGGGTCGCTGCGACTTTGCCGTAGTACGATTCGATGTAAGATCCTCCATTGATGTCCTTACTGTTTAAAACATCAAAATTAAGTTGTTGTTATTTCGTTTTTAGGATGTTGAGGTTGTTAAATATCAAGATTACGACTGTTTTAATCTTGTTAAATATCAAGATTATGAATGTTACCCGTGGATGAAGAAACCGGCGTCGGAAACACATTTGACCTTAGCCGTTTTGGGGAGAATAGACGCGAATTTGTCGCAGTTTAAAATCGCAGCCAATGCTCCGGCTGAACAACCGGAAAGTATCGCCTGAAAATTGATGTGACCAGTTAACATTTGCAATCCCAAAAGCTCAATAAAAATATATTTTTTTAAAAACATTACTAAACTTTGATTTAATTTTCTTACGTTTTGAGCGTTACTCATCCCCTTAGCCATAAGATCATCAATCACCGCACGCCAAACCCTAGCGCCACGGAAGAACAGCTTGTTCGCCTGTATAATTTTTTTTTAATTCCGGTAATATAATGTAAATATACATTTTTAAAAAGTCTCAAACATTTCCACTCATTTTAAAAACGGCTTTGAGTTAAGATTAATGGTGAATTACCGGATCAACGGCTTCTATATCGCCGGTGAAAGATGAACCATCGCAGTACCGAACTTTGATTCTATTCCAGTTATAAAAGTCTGCAAAAAATGAAAAAAATCCAATTCAATTTCATTGCATCAAACACATATAAAAAACAAATCATCAAATCGATAAACAAAAGATCTTTTAAAGAAAATGTTAAGAACCTGGATTGGTGCTTTGCTTGCCACCCAAGATACCGGAGAAACCGAAGTCTTTGTTCATTAACTTAGACGAACCCTTCATTGTACTTTTACGTTTTACGCATGTAGCTATATCAGTGCACCATCCTCCTCCCTAATACACACATAGACATATATTTAGTTATCTTAGTTATGTTTCTTACATCATTAATAAAGATAGAACTTAATTCGACTAACCTCCATATGAACGATCCAGTTGTTCACTCCTGAGCCAGATCCTTTATCGAAATGGTACGCTGGTGCGCTACCATCCAAACACACTACAAAGTTATAGTAATTATTAATTATAAAAACGGTTTTGATCTATCGAAATAGTTTAGTATATACAATTTGAGTTCATTGCGAAACAGTATAGAAAATCATCCTTGTACACCATCTTTGTACAAGGATTATGTTGTATCTAACTCGTTTACATTAATGAAAGTTATGATAATTTTGTCGGAAACAAAAAGGTAGGTTTGTACACGCCAAATTATTCAGTTTTAGTCTAAACTTTTGAGCATGGGCATCAGTTTTAGAAAAAAAAATAGGTTTGAATTATATAGGTTTAAAATTTGTCACTGTTCAGGCTATGATGGAAAGAAACAAAAATTGCGTACCGGCTCCTTTAGCCACAGCAGATTCGAGATATGTGATGGGCACAGCTCCGGTTCCAATCACCACCACGGCAAATATTATAAGACTTGACCATAATTGCTTCAGCTTCGTCATTCTGTAATAAAATCATAGATTAGTTATAATAATCCTGCTGTGTAATGTTCAAAAAAAAATGCAGAGATTTGAGTAATCTTGCTGTGGCTATAATGGTGAGAAATTTTGATTAAAATGTTAACTATTTCCCAAACAATGCAGAGAATGGTTCTAACAAAAGCTTAAAGAATATGCGATGTAATCGGATCTCAAGTAATTATTGGAGTAATTTAGAAAGTAAGATGTGGAGCCCGTAAAATCTAAAAAATTACATAGAATAATTTGAAGAGCAAGACGATATGTTAAATGTGTTAGATTTATATTTAGAAAGTTTACATTATGTTAGGAAAGTTTATATTATGCTAATGTTGACAATATATATAAATGTATTTTATTTTCATATCAAACACAATCCAATAATATATACATATAATATTTGACAGTAATCGTAATTGTGTAATTTATTTATTTTTCTAACAAACGCCATTAAAAAAAACGCTAACTTTTGTTTGTGTACCACCATTTTTTTGATCCACAGTGTCTCAAAGTAATAAATACTTATCGAATTGAGATATTATTTAAAATATCACCATTGGTCCATTGGTGCACATAAAAAGAGGGAACAAAATGACCAGTCCATGTGTCACTGTGTCAGTGTGTTTAGTTGGCTGTAATAGTTACCTCGATGGGTGTAGTCCACCGAAAAATAATTTATACTATTATTATTTATTACTTTAAGTACGTAAAATATCAACAAAATGCCAAACTAAAAATATTTGGAAGAAATGACTATCTCGTTATTCAATTGTACACGACTTAATAAAAGAACAAGTTATTATTGTTTGTTGTTAGATTGCATTTGTATTGAATGCTATGTAGATTGTAGCTCTATGAACAATAAATAAATTAAAATATGGAGATTCAAAAATACCCTTCTAGACCAAACTTAAACAGACCGAAATTTATGGCGTCAGAAGGGGCAAAGTGAGAACCATGAAAATAATGAGAGTTCGATTTAGATGAAATTGTAAATATACTAAATATTTGGTTGACAAAAAAAAAAGAATTTGTTGGGCATACTATTTGGAAAAATACAAATCACTTCATAGATGAACTAGTAAGAGTTTTTTTTTTGTGATAAATAATGAAACTATGCGATTGAAACTATAAGTACAAAAAAAACAATAAGATTGAAATCAAATGTTGCAAGATTTTTGCATTAATATTATACGACCGCAGCTACTACATTGAATTATCTTCTTCTTCTTTTTTGCCAGTGAATTCCAAAGATTAATCACAAGTCACAAATTACAAGTAAAAGAGCTGAATAACTATTGATAAACTTTGAAGCTATTATCCAAAATGGAAGATCTGAAATTATATCAATACAGAATGGTAGATCTTTCGTCGGTAGACCAGGATGTTAGAAATGAATATCCAAAAAAATGGCCAAACTGAGAAATATCTACGAAATTTGAATGAAAATACTTCATTTGTTTTTAAAGTTCAAAAAGAAAAATTACTTCATTTCTATGTAGAAGAAAGCTTTACCTTGAGAAAATGGATTCTTCAGATTCTTATTCACGTAGAGAAATGTGTAAAAGAGGAGTCTTCAAGAGTAAGGTTTGAAGTTCATAAAAAGCCATTGCTGTCTTCTCTGTTATATAGATGGATACAGAATACCACACGTTTAAAGAAAACCTTTTTTTATTTCTATTTTCATTTAAGAAAATAAGCATAAAGTTTTTTTTGTTTCTTACATGTATTCGCCAGGTCACGAAAACTATCTTTTTAGTAATATGACTACTATTCACATTTTCTGATTCTCAGTCTTTTTTTTCAGCCTACTTTCAGATGTCTTCTATCTTGAAAATAATGTTTGTCCTATTTGTTTAAGAATTTTGTTTACTTGTGTTTCCACATTACAGCCTTACAGGTATCGTTAAATTTTAACGTATATATTTTCAAACAAAATATTATGCATGAAAAATAATTTTTATAATAAAAACATGCTATAAGTTGCAATTTTAAACTCCATAATAAAATAATTAGATTTATTGAAAAATAGCTAGGTCTATTATGGACGGTATATTTGTAAATATATCCCAACAAGAAAAAAAAATATATAGCTGTTAACAACCTAACACTACAGAATACAAACAAATATAGAACATAAACACTATATGAAAGTTATGGAAAATGGAAAAAAAAAAGTTTGAGTATATCTTATCTAACTTTTTGGTATCTAATCTATATTATATGTGATATAGTCAAAAACATCTGCTAATTCTCCCTAAAGTTATATTATTAACCAAAAATGACTTAACTGAAAATCTATACATGCCAAAATTTTCCTGATTTTCACTATTTTATCTTAGAGGATGTATTGAAACTAAAATTTTAAAGAATTTAATAAAATTTAAGTTTTAATAAAAGTTTAGATGATATTATGTAGATTGAGAAAGATATGATTTGATATTAAAATTATATGAAATTTCACATAAATCAATGAAATTTAGTTCTTATATTTTTAACTAATAAATTCCACAAAATCATTTAAAAAGTAATTAATATTTTTTAAAATCAACTATTTAAAATATTTCCAAAACAGTTAATTGGATTTACTTTTTATAAATTATTGATTGAATAACATGGATTTTTAAATGACTTTGATTAGTTTTACATAAATTTCATATTCAATAATATCAGTTTTGATAAAATATTTAGAATTTCGAATTCAATAACAATGATTTTTAAAACAACCGCTAAATTTTTTGAAATTTTTAATTCAATACCTCTCTTACAATTGCATTGAGTTTTTATTTTTCATTTGCATACCACATATTGACTAAACTTTGACAAAAAAAATCCATGTAATTGTGATTAAATAGTAAAATATGGTTGTTGAACCAGAAAATCACCACTAGGGTTTGTGACTAACAGTTGTGAATTTTGGAGAATAAAATCTTTATTAATATCTCAAAGATGAAGCGATTACAAATATCGGTATAACCGAGAGGTTATGCCGAAATGAAGGAAAAAGTGTTTATGCGATGAACTAGAAAGCTATGAGTTCTTAGGTATTGCTCTGCTGCTCTCTAGATTATATGAGTTGTCATTTTAGTGCTCCGGGATCTTCTTATTTATAAGAATAGGAGATCGGTCGCGAAGAACTCTTTTTTCTTTTCTCTTTTCTCCTTTGGTGAATATTTTCATATTTGCGATATGAAAATATCTCTTATTCTCTGAAGAATATGAAAATTCTTCATTATCCTTGAAAATTCATTTAAGCTGATCCGATGCTTCAGAAGTTTGAAGATTATCTTTGAGGATTTCCTTTTTAAATTATATCGGTATGATCTCCTAAAACTTGATAGACTTAGATTATTATTAGAGAAAGTCTTTTAGTAATTATGCTCGTTTTCCCTATAATAATAGTAAGACAATAAAAATATTTTGCGAATCTACCATTCTAACGTTTTATAGACTAACCAGACCAAATATATAGCCATTAAAACAAAATATAATCGACCCTTTTTTTACGTAGTAGTAATGACCATATCGAATCAAAATCTATGTCTGGACGGAATCTAACAATACTATTCTGTCCTAACGTCCATTTCAGTTCCGCTAAGATGATTTTTGTTTTGTCGGTCCGCTTAGATGATTTATCTTCAAAATTGAAATTTTTTGAAAAACAATTGCATTAAATTATTTCTGAAAAATATAAATTAATTTGCCACCGAGTCAATGCGAAGTACCAAATGTTTAAGACCTTATGCCTTATGGTAGTTTACTTATATTATTTAGTCCGACTTTTCTATCCTTCATCTTCGTATTGTATTCCAATTATGCTAAACGGATTTTAAGATCTCATCCATAAGACAACAACTAATTATGTATTACAAGTAGATCAATAATTTGGTTGGTTGTAATGGTAATTAAATAATATGAGAAAAAGAGAGTCAGAGTTAAATGGTATAACCACATATGAACTGGCGGTGAAGTTTTTTTGTTTTATATAACATCTGCTTAAATTACGATGAAAGCGAATTTATATAGAATATAGTCATAACGTAATACATTAGCAATAGATGATGGGACAAAGAAATGAAAGTAAAACAAAGAGGTATTTGGTATCGATGAAATTTATAAACTCGATTTTAACAATAAATAAAATAACATTAGTTGTGGTGTCAAAGTATATGTGTGGTTTGGATTTCTGAATTTCGGTAATCTATTCAGTTTGTTTATGTTAAAATTTTGATTACAGTATATGATGGTTCGACATAGATAAACGACAACACTTAACATACTAACTATTAACAAACAGACAAAATAACTCAAATCAGTCTCAACGTTGTTAGATCTTAGTAACATACAGTATGTGGTTAGATATATTCGTATTATCACTATCATTTTAGGCTTTTAGCGGACCACTTCAAAAAGAAAAAAAGAAAAGAACCTGATATATACTAATGCATAGGTGATATGTCTATAAAATATTATTAATTGGTATGAATGTTGATGTAGAATGTCTAACTACAAAGAAGATATAAGAGAGGTAGGGTCCGTAGACCATAGTGAAAATGAAAATGAAGGAAAAGGGATAAGGAAGCGGCCCGGAAGATCTCGATTACAATTTGTCAATTTGAATTGTTTATTTTTAACTTTAATTAATAAGATATTTGGTACAATAATTTTCTAAAACCCGAAACCGCGTTTAATAATACGGAGACAGCATATGGGTTTTGACGTTTGACTTTTGAGTCACGACCTCGTTACATTTAATTTGACATAACATGATGTTTCTATTTGAACATAATCAGAATATATTATATATGTTGAAAGCACATAATAAACAAACAATACTAGTTTTTTTTCTTTTGGTTCGTCAAACAATAAACTTCTAATACAGTGGAAACTTATAATACCAAGATTTGGAGATATGTGCAGTCTTTCAACGTCACAAGTTAACGTGACCAATTTACTATTTTTCGACACTACCATAAGAAGTATGCCGACGCATATGTTCAAAAAAAAAAAAGTATGCCGACGCATTTGAATATATTTTTGGATTTTTTTTTTTGAACTCTTTTTTTTTTGGATTTCTTGCCACTCTATTATGATAAATTACTCTACTTCAAAATCTGTTGATCTTAACTTTTGTTGTATTAATTATCAAAGAGTGTTTACTTATTTCAACCGATGTATCCCCAAAATTTAAGTTTATAAAAGTTAAGGTTTGCACAACAAAAAAACATACGACTTAGCATAAACATAATTTTTCACAGGTGAATGTCCTTTAACAACAACCAAAAAAAAAAATCACAGGTTATATGGTATTTGAAGGCTATAAATAATATTTCTTCTGTTTCATTTGAAGTGTTTTTTGAAATTGTTTTACACACAGATCAATTTTATTAAAGTTTATATTATATTCTTTATTAATACAGTTGTAATCTTTTTCCTCTTGTCAATATGTTAAAGTAATATAGTTAAAACTTGAATTTCGTTTAAAATTTTACATTGAAAATCTAATTGAGACTTAATTCAGATAAAAAATTAAATGATATTAATTTTGAAACGAAAAATACTATTTTTAAAAATAATGATAAAATTCCATAAAAGATACTAAACATTGAAAAAAGTAAAATCACTAACATATAAATTTGTTTTAGTGGGACCAAAATTTGACAAACAACAAAATATATTTTCCATTTATCTTGGAGTTTACTGGATATCAATGCTACATATACAATTCCTGCAAATAGTCAGATATTTTTACAAGGATAGACTCATAGAGTATATAGTTTTCTCACCTTATATAATTTTTAGTTTCTACAAAAATAGTCTAAAATTTCACAAAACACAAGAAGTGTTTATGTTGTTCGATAACAAAAAAAAAAAGAAAGTTCAAGAAAAATGAAAAAATAAATAAAAAGTATTTTGTTCTAAAGACACTACTATTTCAACAGAATTTCAATACCACAAAGTTTTAGGTTTACTAAGGATTCTAAATTTTTCGTAAGAATTACTAAATCATATAAGTTACACTAGATTTTGAGGAAATTTTTTTAGGCATCAATTGTGTGATACTTTTAAATTTTTTAGGAAATTAAAACATTATTTGTTTGTCTTAGAGTTCTAAGTTTTTTGTATTTGTAGTTGTGTCCAAAGAATTAAGATATATTACCAAAAACTAATGGTCATATATAAAAATAATTTTACCATTTTATGACGAATTAACTTTATGAATAATTAATCTGTTGACTTAATAAAGGATTAGTCTAAATTATGGGATTTCTATTTCGGAGTCAAAACAAACAAAAAACATTTATTATTTCACGTCATGTCATGTCGTGAGGTGATATCAAATCCAATGTCAAAAATGACAAAATGAATGCATGTATCGATCGATTTGTGTCTAAAAATAGTGAAGAATGGTCTTTATTCTTTTAAATTGAGATATGCTACCATATTAACTCGTTCCTTATTACCACAAATAGCCTTTTCATTGATAGGCTCCTTAGTATAGGCAACATAATCTGTTTGCTATATATTTACCAATACACCTTGAGTTAATTAAAAGATTATCATTTACAAGATTATCAATCATTTTGCTAAGTTAAATCTGACGAAAGTGAAAACACAAAATGCATAACGGTTGTTCAATCCTTGTCCTAGATGTGAACTCTGTGATTGTGCAGGGAGTGGATGCCAATCTCGATTTTTAGGTATTGTTCATCTATATGTTTTTTTAGTTTTTACACACGATGGTTAACAACAAAAACCAACTTGCTAATATATAGTCATGTTCCTATTAAAAAAAAGTTCAAGATATAAAATGTTCATTTTCTTTGTAGAAATTCTGAAAGCCCACAAAAAAAAGAAGAAGTTAATTTGATCCAAACAACGGTCTACTGTTTTCTAAAGGAATTGAATTTGAAACCTAGCTAGTGCAAAACCCTTAATTTACCAAATATGTTTCTACAAACATTAATACCATATATAATACCAAAGACTAAACATCTGTGGTTGGTGTGTTCAGGTTTGAAGGTGGAATGGCCAGAGCTAAGAGGAGTGAGTGGACTCAAAGCAAAGAAAAAAATAGAAAGTTATAATCCACATGTGACTGCTTTTATATATACTCAAGGTGATGTTTATCTACCAGCCATCAATTGTTGCAACTGTGTCGTTCTCTATGTTCCAAGCAACAATTGCCCCAACGGTCCGGTCTTCAATCGTCCCGTTATCGGATGATCTTATTATCTGTCTATGTTGTTGTTTCCTTTTCATAATTTTTGTTTCATGTTAAGCTTCAGTAAGGTTTAAAACCATTTCTTGATTTTCAACTATATTCTCTTGAAACAGAAATATGAGAGCTATTTCTAATATGCAATCTTGACCGGCAAGTTTATATATTCATTTAACCAGATTTTTATCGATAATAATATTGTGTTATTTTTATTATTTACATTATGTTAAGTTATATGAGTTTCCAATCTAAAACTAATTGGCAATGAGTGGATTAACCCATACTTATAATATATTAGTTATGATCATTTTCAATTTCTTATGTGTGATATAATTCCTAATATGTTCCTTCTAGACGATGACTACTTTTGCCATTGATCTCGTTAATATTTAGGCAAAGATCGATGAACTATCTTTGGATCACATATCGATTATAAATCAGGTTAGATTGATTATATCAGACTCTGATATCATATTAAATGACATGAGCTTTTAACCCAAAACCAATTAGCAATTAATAGATTAACACATACTTTTTATATATTAGTTTTATGATATTTTCCAACTTTCGATGTGTGATATAATTTCTATTACATTATATATACATTGTTGATTATCATTCTTCACATATTTACAATTGTTTTTTAGCTGAACAATTGTTTTACATGATTTTTGTTAAAAGAGGACAAGAATGTATACCCTTTTTCTAATAGATCTAAAATAGAATTTCGATTACTTTAAAATCTCTAAGATAAATATAAACTTTAAGAGGCAACAAAGTTTTGAATAGCACAATGTGTTTAAAATAAAACTTTGGCTTTTACTCATTCTTTTTGTCAACGTTATACGAAAAAAGAAAACAAAGTAAATATTCGAAAAGAAAAACGTTATGATAACAGTCTTTATAAACAGTACTGAATCTTGACCCAAAAAAAAAAACATTACTGAATATTTAAATCCTCTATATATTGGACTTTAGAGAGCCTAATGGGCCTTTATCTCTTTCTTACAAGAGTTTGTACAACGTCACTTCTCTTCGCTGCGTTCAGTCTTTTCCCCACTCTTCTTTATCGTCCTCTTCCTCCTGCAGAATCACATACTGTCACTACTCGCGAGATACTCCTAGGTTCACTCTTGTACGTCTCATCTCTTCTCTGTTTTCTTTTCTGCCTTACTTTTTCATTCCAATTTAGGTTTTTTTGATATTTTTCTGAATCTTCTTGACACCAATTTTGAGTTGTTCTTAAACTTTAAGCTTCTGGGTGTTTTCGATTTTTTTGTTAATTTTTCCATCTGTTGTTAACTCCCTAACATTTCTCTATCCGTACTCTCTGAACCTGAAGAACGCTTTCTTCTTTGACCTGTGGGGTTGATTTTTTTTTTTTTTTTTTGGTTTTACTGTGGGGTTGATTTTGTTAGAATGTGTTTCGTTCCTGGGTGACCTTTAGATCTAAGAGCTTAATTTTCTACATTTTCTGGTGATTTTTATTTTTCAGAACAGTTATTTTGTTTCCCACAATAATCGAATTTTGTTATTAACTTGAAATTGGGTTTTTGCAGGTCAAGATTCACTTGCATTGCTGTTGAATCCATGGGGTTACGTGCGATGGATAATACTTGTGTTGAAGACAAGTTTACATTTGTTTCTAAGAGACAGAAACTCTGCGAATCGCTGGAGAAATTAAAAGCCGATTCTTCTCAGATACTGAAGACATTACACGACCACTATGACATGGTTGCTGAGAAAAGGTCTCGGGATATAGAGCTGAAGGAAGACGAGCTTCAAGTTCTGTGCTTGAAGTTGGAGGAAACCCAAAAGAAGATTGAAGCAACAGAGATCGAAGCAGGTGACAAAGAAAAGGAACTTGATTTGCTAAGGAAACAAATCAAGTCAGAAGAGAAGACACTCACTGAGATTAGGACATCACTGAAGAACACTCAAAACGAACTTGAGTTGAAGAAGACAGAGCTGAGAGCGAGAAGCAGTGTTCTTGTTAAGCACGATGTTGCAGCAGAGACTGGAGATGCTCTCACGCTTCGTGAATTCTCATCAGCTTCTCTCAGTCGTCATCAAGTATCAAGTTACCTTAGAGGTTTATCTAATCCAGCAAAATTTGTTCTGGATCTAGTGAAAGGACAACTTAAGGATGCTCATCGAGGACAAGATTTGGGTTTGCAAGGTTTAGTCTTGGAGAACTTAGTTCTGTCTTTTGAGGAGCTTGCAGAAATCAGAGGAACGGACAAGGCTCAAATGCGGCTGAAAGCTACACAGGTGGCAACTCTCTGGAAAGGGATGATGGTAATCGAAGCTCCAAGATCAACTCTCGAGGCTTTGGCGTTTTTGTTATTCATCGTGGCATATGGATTAAGGAGTTTGATCAACGAAGAAGAGACTGCTCTGCTTGCCACATCTGTTTTTAATTACAAACAAGGACCAAGACTCTTTCACTTGTTTGGTCTTAAACGCAAGCTTCCAGGTTAGGTTCTAAAACATTTCTCGTTTATCTTTTGCAGAATTCGTTAGAGATCTCATAGAGGATCATCGATATGTTCCTGCAGTCCGAATTATATGTTTGTTGAAGCTTAAAGAATTTTCAGCCACAACTCTCTTAATGAAAGAGATCACCAGTTTAAGATGCTCTGCCCTAGAAAAAGTAAGAACTGGTTCTTCCCCATGTGTTTAAATCTTGCTCTTTGACGTTTTTTGGTTAGTGATTTAGAAATGATCAAATCTGTGTTTTGTTTCATTTTTAGGCTGAAATCAAAGATGTTGGAAGATTGAGAGCCATTGTTGAACTCGTGGCGGATTATAAGCTAGACATTGATCTTCCAGGGGACCTTATCGCCAAGCTCATGTTTCCCAGAGAAGACTCAACACCACCTGCGCTTCATTGCTCTGTTGAAGCAGCGGAAGAAACTTGCCCTTCCTCATCAAATCCAATGGCTACATGATGCAGCATCGTTACCGTTGTTATCAAACAACATTACTTATTTGACAAGTTATCGTTTTATATTTGGTTTTATTATTACTTCTTTAGAATAGGACAAGTGTTTGGAAGATAAGTTTAAATCTTCGTACGGATATGTTTTTAAGATTTGACATGATCGTCTTAGGTTCTATTTATACGGCTTTCTCGTTGTATAATGAAACAACTTGATTATTGATTTAGATTTTAATAAAGAGCTTTTATGAGCACTGAGAAGAGTATTCTTAAATCTATTGTTCTTTGTCTGTCTCCACTTCGAACAAGATCTGAGAGAAGATCGAATTCTCCTGGAGAGTTTGATCCATTTTCTTGTTATAGCTTCGCCCTCTATCAGTTGGTATCAGAGACAAACGATTCTGTCGATTGATTCTCAACACCAATCATGCCGACCAACTATATCTACGCTAACAAAATCCATCTTAACGATCAGCCAAACGAATGGGCAGAGCTTCGTCAGACTCTCTTTACGATGCGAGATAATTTCCTAGCTACAATCCATAAATCGGCTGAGAGCGTGGTCTAAGCCCAGTTTTTGCAACGTTGTGAACCAGATGATGGTTTTGATCATGATGTGAACAACATCAACGAACCCGTCTACGATGTTTATGGAGATGAAATTTTTTTACCTATGGAACCTAGGTATGATGATTCAAATCAAGTCTTTGATGCTTGTGATGTTACAGATCCAATATTCGATAGGTACGATGAGGGAGAACACTTCGATACTGTGGTTTCCAACGCCATATCATCGATTATAGGTTTTGAATATTGGGCAGAGGACGATCAAGTCTTCAATGACGAAGCTGATGAAGATTCGACCGATGACCTATTCCCAAAGACTGAAATCTCTGCCATCGGAAATCAAAAGGTGAATGATATAACGCTTGTACAACATGTTCAGTTCGACAACGAACCACCAGATCGGGGTCGCAGCAAAAAAATGTTTTGTCACAGTGATGACGATCTCTCCAACGAGGTCCATGCTACAACGGTTTTTGACAGCTATGTTGACAAAGATTGTGGTGATTTTCGCGCTTTTGATGACGAGATTCAAGCTTGTGATGGCGAGATCTATATTGCCCCCTATGTTGATCCAGTGTTTGTTATCTATGATGCGCCGCCAGATCGTGGTCCATGCGATAATTTGTTGTCTCAAATTCTACAACATGATGGACTAACAAGAGAAGATGTATGTGTGCGCTACATGACAAAACACACATATGAGAATATCATTGTGTGTAGTTCATCAATGGAATTTCTGAATTGGGATTTTAGACAAGGAAAACCAGTCCTAATTTCATCTTCTCGTCAGTTTGTCTTGTACGATGAGGAGGTATATATCGTAGATCCTATTGAATTATTTTTCACAGCTCAAGCTTTTGCTTCAAATAAGCGACACATGGTGGATTTATGTGATGGAAGTTTCATAACTATGATGCACTTATTACATGGGTTTACGAGGACGTATGATATGGTCATTAATTCCATGCGTCTATTTTTCAATACATATGAAGCACGAGCTCCAGAAACTTGTGAAGGAAGAAAGGATTGTCAATGCCTTATATTACTTTCTACGGCATATTTTGACGTTCAGAATCTCCAATATGAGAAGTGTGGAGGAAGCCTATTGCAGCGCATGTGTCCTACACATAGTCTCAAGTTTGTTGGGAATTTGGATGTGCAAAATGTTACACACAACGTGAAGAAGAATGACGTTACAAGCGTTTCTTGTGTTAACCGAATACTCACGATGCTGGTACATGACCCCGTGTTACCACCATTACCACCGCCAATGGTTCTTAATGGTGTCTTGTGCCGAGCAAGTGTGAACGTGGGTTTGAGATGTCGGTTGCTGGTCTATTTTCAGTCTAACTTCTTCCATGGATTTCCTCGTGAGAGTGACGTGTGCGAACTATATAACATTGCTGAGTCTTCACCGCGATCCACTTGGTTCTCTTTGTTCATATGGGGTAGTGGTGATGGTTGTCAAAACATACGACACGAGAATCTTACGGAGTGGTTTCAGCCACGACTGAGATCAAGTTTTCCTATTATGTGGCTTGGTTTGAAAGTCATGGTGCATCTTTTCAACGATATAGTTATTGTTGGAGTCGTGTTCAAAGTACATTATTCACGTCACCACCAATTACTTAAGTTCGTCCTTCATGTACATCTTTTCGCGGATAAAGGAAAGTACGAGTTCAATGGCCACTGGGATTTTCTCTTCCATGATATGAGTTCTTATGTAGATCTTTCGAGTAATATAGTCTACATGCATGCCACATGTTCTACTTTTCTTATGGAAAGGTCAAAAATATCAGTGAAAGATATAGTCTCTTTTTGCGATGTGAGGGAGTTGCCGTGTTTACACCAACATCAAATATTTGATCTCATAACTCGTGGGGGTCGCTTTGTAGCAACAAAGAAGCACAAGATCAAAGTCAAGTGGGCTTCTCTTAGCCATAGTGTGGTGTTTTACATGGGGTTTCCAATGCAAAATGGTGAAGTGCAGCTTGCGAAAGTCCAAAGTAAGACTTGTTTGGTCTCTTTTTCTCAAAGTCTAATGCCTCGATTCGACTATCGTATGGTCTACATACTCGCTGGCAGGGAGTTGTATATTTTTGTGTTGCCACCGTGGGTTCTAATAGCATTGGTGTTTGTTCTCCACATACTCAGAACTAGGCCCGTGTTGTTCTTCTCTACTGTCACGTCTCAATTTCGATTGAAACATGGAGCTTTTAAGAGACGCGTAGAAGCTGAGCGAATGCGACAGTTGAAGCTCTTTGACAAGATAATTGCAGTTCTTAGGTGGGAGAAGGCTGTTAGAAGGCGGGATAGTGTTGTTAATTTGACGAGCAGAATGCCACCTCTTGAGGACAGCAGTGCGTACGTAAGTGCAGTTTGTCTAATATTGGTCAAAGAATATCTAAATTTCAGGTTCTCTCACACTCGCACTTCAGCGTGTTTTCGATTGGCTTACAAGTACTTTCGTCTGATTCTACCACTTTCTCGGTATGATTTACATGCTGTAGTTGGTTGTATTAATGACATATTCATGCTGGAGACTCCGATGTCGTACGACCACTGATTACTTTCTAGCTTCGGTTTTGTCATAGCCTTTGTCTTCGCGGATGAGTCTACGATTTTGTTACCCTATAGAGTTCAGCACGGAACGAGAGTTGTGTCTACTCCACAATGGAGTTTTACTGCCACGTACATGCTCAATATTTGGTGGTGTGCAGTTACTTGCAAATTAAGCAAGCTGGTTTGTATTGTTTTAGCTTCGTACAATATAGAGTTGTTCCGACTTAGTAGACAATGACACCAGTTTTGTGAAAGTTTACAGCGATAGAGGATTATTAATCTGACCGCCACAATTGATCTTATCCGTGACGTTATTATTTGCGGCACCTTGAACTGACGTCTCGACGCCACTCCTTCTTTGATAACTTTCAACGCAAGATCCTTTTTTTGGACACAAAGGAATGCATGTTCAGTGTCATTTGGGGTGTGATATTCAGTGGTTTGATCTCATATGTTGGTCTTTTCATGGACTTGAACAAAGCAGAGCATGAGGGAGTACAAGTCTTCGCTTTGTCGTTGTTGTCTGGGTTTTTGATGCCTCCTTCTGATTCTTTTATGGTCTTTGATTTCACAGACACCGAAGAGTTTAAGTTATTATGGGCATCATGGGCTCTCAGCACTTGTGTGTTTCCTTTAATTCCGTTCACACCCGAATCCATCATGACCTTCCCAATCATGTCACTTACGTGACATCACGGCGTTTCTAAGCAGCAAAGAAGAGTTTCTACGCATCTTCGTGTAGCTTCATCTTCGTGTAGCTTTATCTTCGTGTAGCTTCATCTTCATGTAGATTCTCGACCGGGTCATTGCCGTTGTTGAGTTCCAAGTTCTTCATGTTTATTATAGATATTGATGGAGTCTCACTACTTGTGCATCAAGCAAGCTCTTGTTGATTGTTATTTTGGCTTTGGAGAGTGTGATACAACGTATCTTCGAGAAAAATTGGTGTTACGCATACGATGATCCAGATTCAGGGACGAATCTTTTCAAACCCGGGGAGACTGATGCAGCATCGTTACCGTTGTTATCAAACAATGTTACTTATTTGACAAGTTATCGTTTTATATTTGGTTTTATTATTACTTCTTTAGAATAGGATAAGTGTTTGGAAGATAAGTTTAAATCTTCGTAGGGATATGTTTTTAAAATTTATTTATACGGCTTTCTCGTTGTATAATGAAACAACTTAATTATTGATTTAGATTTTAATAAAGAGCTTTTACGAACACTGAGAAGAGTATTCTCAAATCTATTGTTCTTTGTCTGTCTCGACTTCGAGAGAAGCTCGAATTCTCTTGGAGAGTTTGATCCCTTTTCTTGTTATAGCTTCCGCCCTCTATCACTACATCTTTTCACGTTGCTGCTTCACGTTCAGGTGTGGATCTTCTGGTTCCTAAACCTGAGATTAAACCCTTCGTGTACCCTTTAACCAAGGGTACTAGATTCTAATGTCAGATACTCTAGATGTGTTGAAAGCTAGTAGGAACCAAATAATGTATGTATTAGCTTGTGCTAGGTCTCAGGTTCTCTCTATCATATTAGAAGTTGGTCTCTTTGATTTTATCTGCATAAGAGAACCATTTTACTTTCTTAAATCTAGCAAAGGAATCGATTCATCATCGTCCTTGTTTGTTTGGTAAACCTTGTTCCACTTTTGGCTACTGTTATATATATCTAACAAGCTTGGCTTATTACACACATGTCTGTTCTTTGCGTTGTTTTATGGTGGAGTGTTGGAGAAGGTATCTATATGTGATTAAGGAGTTGCTTCCTCTTCTACTTACAAATAACTTACAAGAGTAAAACGAGTTGTTACAAGTTTCGAGTTTGTAAAAGTTTTTTTTTTTTTTTGGCAAAAAAAGACATGTTACGAAGTTTGTAAAAGTTGCTAAAATATTACATAAAAACTTATTAATTACAAGTGTCGTTTTAACTTACTGCCATCAACATAGATTTGTAATCAATATGTATATTTTGCAATTTGTCTTATGGAAGCATTTGATTCTGTGGGCAAGACAGTTAATGTAATATATTTTTATTTTAAAACAAAGTTCAAATGTTTTAATGAAAAGTTGTTAAAAACTGGTGAACATTTAATAAATATAAGGAGCATATAATTAATGTAGCTATTGTACTTTGATTTGCATGGTTTAAGGACTTTTGTTATTTTTGAAACCGAACCGAGATCATAGTGAACTGAAACGCTATAAAACAAACAAACCAATCAAACAAACAAGGTAAACCGAAAAATCGAAACTCGGTTTAAAGCTTATATGAAGATGCCGCCACGTGAACCAATACGATTCGTTTCCTTTTTTGGGCCTCTTTCATCGATACTAAAACCAGCGAAGCTTCGCTTACACACGAACAAACACATCAAAGCGAGAGAAAAAAATTAAACGAACAAACGAAAATCTCCGGAGATTTAATCCATCGCCGGTAATTGTTAAAGACGGTGGGAAGAGATGGCTGGACAGTCGCGGAAATGGATGATCCTGGTGGCGACGATCTGGATTCAAGCTTTCACTGGTACGAATTTCGATTTCTCGACGTACTCGTCGGATTTGAAATCGGTTCTAGGGATTTCACAAGTACAGTTGAACTACCTCGCCGTCGCTTCGGATCTCGGGAAAGTTTTCGGTTGGTCATCGGGATTGGCACTCTTGTATTTCCCTCTCTGGACAGTTCTCTTCGCGGCCGCGATCATGGGTTTCGTCGGGTATGGTGTTCAGTGGCTCGTCATCACTAACATTATCTCTTTGCCGTACATTCTGGTAATTTTTTTCCCCTTACATTTCAATTTCCTGAGTATATTCTTTGTCTCTGTTGTTTTAATTTAACGATTCCGCAAAGTTTATGACGGAAATTGTAAAAACCAAATCAGAAAATTCGAATTTGTTTTTTTTTTTTATAATGGGTAGTATCAGTAATTTAGTATAGTTAGTCTATATTGTTGGAAAAAATATTCAATCTCTTCAGCTTTCACTCTATCACTTTATTATAAATCACAAATTTAAGTCTTTTCTTCAGTTTTACAAGTAATTATGTAATGTAGTATCATTACTCTATCGTTTTAAGACTATGAACATCATATCTATTGTTTTTTATTTTATTTAAGTGTTGTTTGTTACTTAATGTTTATATCAGATAACTGTTTTTAGTAGTTTACTTCAGTTCATATTCACCTACTTCTTATTAGATTTCATATATTTTATGATAAAAATGTTTTTTTTGTGTGTGTTGTGTTGCTAATGAGACGAAATCAAAATTTAGAAGTTTGGAAGAACAGTCGTTGATGGTTGACAGGTGGATAGGTAGTTCAGATTTCAGAAGTGAATTTTCATTTGACTTTTTGCTCGCACGTGATTTTCTTTGGTCTATGTGTTGGCTTTGTCTGGGATCTGATGACTATCTCGAGAATCTCTATTGTTTCTTGTGTGATCGGATCTTCATGTTGTGTATATTAATATTTTCTCCTTCTCTCAATAAAAAAACCCATTTAATATTTTCTCGAGAATCTCTATTGTTTTTCTCTTGCATTCTTCAGAATTATTCTTTTCTAATGATGAGTTGGATTGGAGGGGAGGATCTTTGTCATGTGATAAGTATAATATTGAATTTTTAATAAAAAGCGGTATGAAATTATTTGAATTATCTTCCACTGAGCGTGATCAATGTAAAAAGTTTTGAATTTGTTTTTGGGAGGAATGGTTAACAATATAAAGTGAAAACTGTGATCAAGTAAAAAATTCTGTTCGGGGTTTTTTCTTGATTCTTACAAGAGTGACATAGTTTCAGATACTCCTTGGGATCGAACTTGCGACTAAGTATGGTTTCTGTGATGTTGTGGCAGGTGTTTCTGTGTTGTTTGCTAGCTGGGCTAAGTATCTGTTGGTTTAACACAGTCTGCTTTGTGCTCTGCATCAGAAACTTCCCTGCAAACAGATCACTCGCACTTTCCCTCACAGTGAGCTTCAATGGCGTAAGTGCTGCGTTATACACTCTTGCTTACAACGCGATTAATCCTATTTCCACACAGCTATATCTTCTCTTAAACGCCCTTATACCTCTTATTGTCTCCTTCGCTGCTCTCATCCCTATTCTTCGCCAACCACCTCTTGAACCTCTTTCACCAGATGGAGTTCGTAGAGACTCTCTCATGTTTCTCTTGCTAAACATCTTAGCGGTTTTGAACGGAGTGTATCTGCTTCTCTTTGGTTCAAAGACTTCTGATGCAACCTCGGCTCGTCTGCTCTTTGGTGGATCAATTCTTCTCTTGATTCTTCCTTTATGCCTTCCCGGTCTAGTCTACGCTCGTAATTGGTATCTGCACAATGTCCACTCCAGTTTCCGTTTAGAAGGCTCCGGTTTCATTCTTGTTGATGTTGATGAGCTTGAGATTCATAAAGGAATGGTCACACGTGAAGCTAGCTTCGATGGCTATCAGTTGCTAAACGATGATGGAGCGCGAACAGCCATTACTCCTGATCAGAAGAGTTTCATTGAAGATGACAACGGATCTTGTTGCAATAAGCTCATTATGGGAAATCAGCTTGGAATGCTTGGAGAAGAACATCCTCTGACTTTGCTCTTGCGCAGATTAGATTTCTGGCTTTACTACATAGCGTATTTTTGCGGTGGCACCATTGGACTTGTCTATAGCAACAACCTTGGACAGATTGCACAATCTCTAGGACAAAGCTCGGAGACAACAACTCTCGTCACACTTTATTCGTCTTTCTCATTCTTTGGTCGATTGCTTTCAGCAACACCAGACTATATCAGAGCGTAAGTCCCTTACACAATCCTTTTTCTACTTCCTCTGGTTATGGCATCATCAGAAGATTATGATGTTATTGCAATGTGAAATTGTGCAGGAAGTTTTATTTCGCTAGAACCGGGTGGCTAACCATTGCTCTTTTACCAACCACAATCGCTCTGTTCTTGTTGGCATCATCGGGAAGTTTGTCAGCGTTACAAGCAGGAACAGCTCTAATTGGTCTAAGCTCGGGTTTCATATTTGCAGCAGCGGTTTCTATCACATCTGAGCTATTTGGACCCAACAGCGTCGGGGTTAACCACAACATACTCATCACAAACATACCGATAGGATCGTTGGTCTACGGTTTCTTAGCTGCTTTGGTCTATGAGTCCCATAGCATGGCTGGGTCGAATACCGAGTCGGTTATATGTATGGGACGAGACTGTTACCATCTAACGTTTTTGTGGTGGGGATGCTTGTCGGTGATTGGGCTAGCATCAAGTGTTGTCTTGTTTCTGAGAACTAGAAGAGCTTATCAACGTTTTGAACAAGATCGGATAACTTCAAGCATGCTCTATTCTTAGAAATTTTCTCCAATCGTGTTATTGCGGGGGGAAAAAGTTGAAAATGACGAATAAAAGTTTGTGCAGAACTGTGTTGGTTTCACAAAAGTTTTGACCTTTTTGCAGAAATAAGAACAGGGAGAATATTAAGATATAACTTTGGTCAGAAGAAAACTTTGAGTTTCTTTTCGTGGCAAAGGATCGTTAAGTGAACCGGCGACATTAAAAAATTCACGGTTTAGCAACCTTGAACTCTTGCTTTACCGAACCAAACCAATGGGTTAAGGCTTGTGTTTTGTTTCAAACTTGTGTGACATTTTTAATGAACTATCTTGGTGCTAGTATCAGCAATGTCTTGATGGAAACAGTTGCTGTAGGCTTGTAGCTGATGAACACATGTTTCAGCATCAGAGCAACAGCTTGTCTTTTCGATCACTACTAATCTCAACATGTTTTAATCCCGTAAATAACTGGAACTTTTGTCTTGAACGAATAAAACAATTTGGTTTCAAAACCAAAAAAAAAACGAATAAAACAAATAATACCATTACTGTTGTTCGTTTTTTTTTCTGACAAACCTTTGAAGGGTATTATGGACACACAATATTCATAATAATTTCAGAAAAACCTGTAATCCTCCCAAAGCCAAATCATTCAAAATAAAACGTTCCAAACTCCACTATTCCAACTACATTTATTTTTAAAAAGATTTAAACATCGTCTTCAACTGTGTGACTGTAAACAAATATTTTATAATCTTATTTTTGCTATTATGTGATTAGTACAAGAACAACAAGACGAAAGACAGATTAACAAGGAAGCCTCGGATTCGAAATAAGTCAAGAAAATAAAATAATATAAAACTTTGGTTATGTATGTAAATTACTACTACCTGTTTAAAAATTGTATACTGTCACCAAACGTTGACGAAGATGTACGTTCATGTCTAACTTAGTAACTTATAATCTAAGTCTTCTCAACTCATTCTTTCAAGTTTTCGAAAACTCATCCCTGGAAACTAATTCCTTGAAATTCTACCATGGCAGCAACAAACGAAAAAACCGCGTCACAGCAGAATAAAGTGTACATCAATTTTCGAGTCGACATGAGCGAGAGCTTTGGACCGCACCTCAAGAAGGTCTTGTCAATAAAAGGAGTCAACGCCTTCATTGTAGACCAAGATGAGATGAAGGGTAACGATCTTAGAAACTCACTTTTCAAGAGGATCGAAGAGTCGAGGATCGCGCTTGCTATCTTCTCGAGCAAGTATGCTACATCATCATGGTGCTTGGATGAGTTGGTGAAGATCAAAGAACGAGTGGAGGAAAGCAAACTCGTGGCGATTCCCATATTCTACAAGATGAATCCATCCGAAGTCAAAGGTCTTGAGGGAGATTTTGGTTCTAACTTGTGGAATCATGTTAAGCATACTTCTGAATTTGACAAGCTCAAGAAATGGAAGGAAGCTTTGGATTTCGTGTCGAACAAGGATGGCTTGGTTTTTCCTGAAAACAGGTACGTATTCCAATCATACTCATAAAATTTGTGATGCAAAATTACAAATATGTCTTAAAACTGAGTTTTATGTCAACGGGCTCAAAAGAACCTCAAAAAGTATTATGACCATGTTCAAAATTTTAATTTCACACCCTACTTGTATGCAAATATACATTTTTAACATGACCAATTTTAGACTCTAAAATACAGATGAAACTTTGTTAATTCTTCTCATTTTTTTTGTCTGTTTCTTACAGCCCTTTTCCAGGGATGAGAATGAGTTCATCATTAGCATCACCGAGAAAGTCAAGAAAGTGATCCGGATTTTAGAGGAGCAACAGGATGCTCCTTTATTCATATCAGAAAAGTTGAATTTGGTGGACACTGATGCAAAGTCTGATGCAAATCCAGAAGAAGCTGATGATGATGAGAGTGTCCGAGGTGAGGCAACGATGCATATAAAATCAAGAAAGGACCATGATGGTCCGAATCCGAGAAAGGATGACAATTTCCTTGGTGAAGCAAACTCTGATGCAATCCCTAAAGTACAGAATACGGTTGAGAATAAGCATGGAAAAGCTAGGCAAATCCCTACCATGGAGACCTACGCCAAACACCCACCAGTTCATCAGGTCTTCATCAATTTCCGAGGGGAAGATGTCGGCTTCAGCTTTGTAAGCCATTTGGTTTCTGCCTTGTTAAAGAAAGGGATCAAGGTTTATATAGAGAAAGATGAGAGGAGAGGTGAAGAAGATATCAGCAAACATTTCAAGAAGATCGAGGATTCGAGAGTTGCGCTCGTGGTGTTTTCGAGCACCTACTCGGAATCAACATGGTGCTTAGACGAGCTGGTGAAGATCAAAGAATGCATGGAAAAGGGGAAACTCGAAGTCCTACAAAGTGGAGCCAACAGAGGTGCAACAACTAAATGGAGATTTTGGTTGTAAACTTCGGAATTTGTGGAGACTTCACCGAGACCACCATATCATTAAATGGATGGAAGCATTGGAGTCTATTGCGAGCCTTGAGGCCACGATGAGCTTCTCACTGAAGGAGGACAGGTAATGCACCTCTATAATTTATTTTTGACTGAAACTAATAATTTGTTCTTGCTTACATGATCGAAGGGTCTTATTGATTTGTTGCCTTTTTTTTTTTTTTATCTCACTTGTTTTTCAGTTTTGAGAGCGTGTTCGTTACTTCCATTGTCGAGGAGGTCAATAAAGCTCTTAGCAAGATTTCGTTTCAAGAAGTACAAAATCCAGAAACTACTGGTGTTCGCGGAGGAAGAGGAGATAAACCTGAAACATTTCCCAACAAGGACCCGCTTTTTGGTATGGAACAACGTATGGAGAAATTGGAACAGAAGTTACAGTTTTATTCTGACGAAACTCGAATTATCGGAGTTGTTGGGATGCCTGGCATTGGCAAAACAACTCTCGCATTGATGCTGCACGAAAAGTGGAACTGCAAGTTCGTACGTTGTGTGCCTCTTCTAAATATCCGCAAGAAGTCGAATGACTATGGACCAGCGTGGCTGCGAACGACACTCTTAAAACTATTACTCGGCGGGGAGGTTCCAATCATAAATGACGAGACAACACATGAATCCGTGACGAACGAATTGCTTGAGACCAAGGTTTTTGTTGTTCTCGATGACGTGAGTGACGAGAAACAGTTTGAGTTTCTTCTTGGTGATCTCAAGTGGCTTAAGAAGGGAAGCAAAATTGTTATTACAACGTGTGACAAATCGTTGCTGGAGGGATTGGCTCATGATATTTATTTGGTTCCACAGATGGACAATAAAGAAGCCTTTCAACTCTTTAGCTACCATGCGCTTGATGATCAGGATCACTCTCGTCCTCCGAGGAAACTGTTGACTCGGTCCAGAATATCCGTGAATAAGGCTGGAGGAAACCCACTAGCTCTCAAGCTAATGGGTAGCAAATTTCGTGGGAAAGACAAGTCTCACTCGGATCATAAACCTAAAAGACAAACACAATGTTCCACAACGAATGTCCTGAATGCCTGGAAATTCTATATTGATCGACTCAGTGAACAGCAAAAAGATGTGTTTCTCGACATTGTGTGGCTTTTCAAATCAGAAGATGAGTACTTTGTTTGGAGTATACTTGATTCAGGAGATCATGACTCTACTGATCCTGGGGCTGTGAGTGAAGTAAGGGATCTTGTTAACAAGTCCCTAATTACAATCTCCGACAGCCGAGTAGAGATGAATTATCTTGTGTACATGTCCGGTAAGCACCTTGGTTCTCATGGGCGGCATAAACTGTGTAAATACAATAATATCGTCAACAAGCTGGGAAAACTGGAAAACATTGTAAGTTTATTAGGATAATTTTTAAAATGATTCATTTGGTAAATTTATTACAAAACATAACCTTTTTTAAAATGACCTATGGGTAACTTATTGTGTTTTTAATCTGCCATTAGTCTATAAATAATTTTTATTTAGTGCCAGTAATTTGCATGTAGCGTGCCAGTCATCTATTTTTAATTGTATAACTAATCAGTATGTTAATAGTATGTAATTAGTGTACAAGTAAAAGTATAGTAGCGTTGATATTTATACAAATTATAAAAATGAGTTATTTTCATAAGTTTTTCTTTAGTAGAATACTGTTTCGCATTATTTTTCATACTTTTTCAAAATTTTTATTTTTATTTTTATTTTTATTTTTCAGCAAAAGAAAATATCAAAATAAACAACCATGCTTGCAACATAAGTTGGATGCTCTATTTTTTCAACAGTGAAAAAATGGGTGTCTTCGCTCCTAATAGTTAAAACAAAGAGCAAGGAACCTTATAACACTAGGGTTATCGTCACTTATACGATTATACTGCATGAGTTTCACGACATTTTGAGGACAAAGTTCGTCACTTATATTCTGAAAGTGGTGGACGAGATTCCACCTTACTATCTATTCCAAAACACTAACATGTTTTCTTTAAAATTCCACAGGACAGAGGCATTTTCTTAGACATGTCAAAAGTAAGGAAGTGCATTGCCTTGAAACCGAGCACCTTCACCAGTATGTCCAATCTCCGATACCTCAAGATATATGATTCTTATTGTCATCAACAATGCAAACCTGAGTGCAAATTAAACTTCCCGCATGGGCTTGAGTTCCCTTTAAAAGAGGTTCGATATCTCCACTGGATAAACTTTCAGCTGGAGGAACTTTCTTCAGATTTCATGCCAGATAATCTTGTTGACCTTAGACTTCCTTACAGCAATATTAAACGTGTGTGGGAAGGAGTTAAGGTATGTTTTCATGTGCTAAAATGTTTTATCATTTTTTTCTCCTCATATGGCTAATGTAACATGTCTTAGTTTTTCTGATTATTGGTGGAATACTGACATATTGTTATAGGATACATCAAAGTTGAAGTGGGTGGATCTAAGTCACTCGTGTAAGTTGCTTAACATAGCAGGATTGTCAAATGCTACAAATATCCAGAGATTGAATCTGGAAGGCTGCGCGGTTTTGGATGAGTTGCCATCGGAGATTCAAAATATGAACTCTCTTGTTTTCCTCAATCTGAGAGGATGCACAGGTCTTTCGTCTCTGCCAGAAATAAATTTGACCTCACTTAAATTTCTCATCCTCAGCGACTGCTCAAATCTCAAGGAGTTTCAGCTAGTTTCCGAAAGTGTAGAATTTCTACATTTAGACGGTACTGCAATTAGCAAACTTCCTCCTTCTGTCAAGAACCTTCAAAGACTTGTCTTGTTAAATTTGAAAAACTGCAAATCGTTGGAGTGTATTCCCAACTGTCTCAGCAAGCTGAAAAATCTTGAAGAGCTGATACTTTCTGGTTGTTCTAGGCTTAAGAACCTTCCAGATGTCAAGCATAGCATGAAACATATCCAGATTTTACGTCTTGATACGATAGGAGCAGAAGAGATGCCAGACATATCAAGTTTCATTGAAGGCCAAGCTTCTAGGCCATATTGCAATCCGAGCGAATGGCCACATGGTGTTAATGAAGTTTCTTCACTAGGACGTCTATGTTTGAGCGGGAATGATTTCATCAGCCTGCAAGCTGACATCAGTAAGCTTTATAATCTGAGATGGCTAGACGTGAAGCAATGCAAGAAGCTGAGATCTATTCCAATGCTTCCACCAAGACTTCAGTATTTTGATGCTCATGGGTGTGATTCCCTGGAAAGAGTGTCAAATCCTCTAGCTCTTCAAGTGCTAACAGAGCATAACCAAGCCACTTCTCCAACTGCAAAAAACTTGATCTACACGCAACTAATAGTATCACTTCCTATACTCGGTGGAAAAGCCAGTTACTACTAAATTCACACTCTCGATATGATGGGGTATGTCTCTTTACTTATTGATCAGTTTTAGTTCTTCCTAGCATCATAAATGTTGTGTAATATATTGATTTGGTATTCTTTCTTTGCAGGGTGCTGGCTTCGAAATTCTGATTGGTACTTGCTTTCCTGGATAGAAAGTACCGACATGGTTCAGTTACTGAGCATCTGGATCAGTGTTAAAGAAAAATCTGCATTCGCATTGGTGCGACAAAAAGTTTACCGGCATAGCTCTCTGCGCTGTTATCTTATTTCCTGGAAACCATGATCATCTCGTAGTGAAATGTAACTGTGAGTTCACGAATGAAGTCGGATCACATATCCGCTTTATTTTCACCGTTGGAGGTTGGAGCGAACCCGAAAACACACCGATGACGGTTGAGTCGTCTCATGTCTTTATTGGTTATAACAGTCTAATAGATCATGGTGTTGGAAAAAAAATGAAGAGGGATGTAGTTGGACTGAAGCTTCGCTAGAGTTTCAAGTAACATATGGTACTAATGAGGTAGTAGGTTGCGAGGTGCTGAACTGTGGCTTTCGTTTGGTATATGCATCTGATGAAAAGAATTATGTAACTCCAGAGAACGTTGAGAAACCTAAAATGGTTTCTTCCGTTGGAGTTGAACTACGACTCAAGGAACTGGAAAAGGTGTTATACTCTACGCCTGGAGAAACTTGTATAATTGGAATTATCGGGGAGCCTGGTATTGGAAAAACAAATCTTGCAGACACTTTGTTTAAAAGGCGTGGGTGTAAGTTCCCATGTAGCTTGTTCTTCAGGATGTCGAAATAGCACGAACCAGATAGGTTGAGAAGGATGTTCTTGGTAGAGCTGCTAAAGAACATATATCAAACCATAAGCGATGAGACAACACACGAAGATGTGAAGGATAACTTACTACAAGCTAAATCTTTTGTTCTCTTCGATGGCGTGAGTGAAAAGAAGCAATTAGAGTTTCTCCTTGGCAACCTAAGCCGGGTTAAGAAGGGAAGCAAGATTATAATTACTGCTCATGACATGTCATTTCTCGAGGGATTTGCTCATAATACTTACATGGTTCCGAAATTTGAAACAAGAGACGCCTTTCAACTATTTTGTTATTATGCCTTCAACGATCAGCGATATAATCTGACAAAGACCATCCTCAATTCTTCCAGAATATTTTTGGATAATGCTGGAGGCAACTCACAAGCTCTCAAGTTAATGGCTGATGAACTTCCTGGGAAAGGTGAGACTCACTGGGAATAGAAAATGCAAACATTGACACATTCCAATACAAAGATTCAAGAGCTCGAGAGATTATTTACTGGTCAACTTAATCAGCAACACAAAGATGTATGCTAGACATTATATGGTTTTTCAAATCAGAGGATTATTTTGATAGGAGTCTACTGGATTCAGGAGATTTATACTCTATTAGCGAAGTCAGAGATCTCGCTGATAGATTCTTGATTGAAATCTCTAAAGGCCGAGTAGAGAGGAATGATCTAGGGTATACATTTGATATTGATCTTGGTTCTCCTGGGCGGTATAGGCTATTGAACTACGAAGATATCACTGAAAAGCTGAAGAACATGGGAAGAATGGTAAGTTTATTTTAAGTGTTTATTTATTTATTTTGCTGTAGAGGAAATTCAATGTGCTTACAACATTTATTTGAAGTTCCAAAGCCAACTTCTTTAAAATGTTTTCAACACAAAATTGTTACCGTAAAACACTGAATAAGATTAATCAATATGTGTAATCTCATCATATCCAACCCCAAGAAAATGTATCTCATTCTTTTTTTGTTCATTCATATAGAGTTTTCAATTTTAGAGAAGCATAAATCTTTTCCAGTAAATTGTAGATTTTGAGCTAGAATTAGACTTCAAGCACCTACTAATTGTTTTTCCTTTTCTTAACTTGTTCAGGAGGCTAATGATGTGAGAGGCATTTTCCTAGATCTCTCTGAAGTAACAAAGAGCATTGTGTTGGAACGTATGACCTTCACAAATATGGGCAATCTTCGATACCTCAAGGTATATGATTCTTGTTGTTCAAGGCACTGTAAACCTGACTGTAAATTATACTTTCCGGATGGGCTTAGTTTCCCATTGGAAAAGATCCGATATCTCCACTGGTTGAAATTTCCATTGAGGGAACTTCCGTCAGACATGAGACCAGAGAATCTTGTTGAACTTAGGCTTCCTTACAGCAAGATTTCACTTGTTTGGGAAGGCGTTAGGGTACGTTCTCCTGCGAAATGAACTACTATTCTCATAAGATGGATATATAATGTAGCATGTCTAGTTATTTTTTCTTATCTTTGATTGGAGGTTTAATTCTAATGTATCATCACAGGAGATACCACACTTGAGGTGGGTAGATCTAAGCCATTCGAGTAAGTTGCTCAACTTATCAGCACTGTCAAAGGCTGAAAATCTTCAAAGATTAAATTTGGAAGGCTGCACAAGCTTGGAGGAGTTACCATTGGAGATTCAAAATATGAAGTGCCTTGTTTACTTAAATATGAGAGGATGCATACATCTACGGTTTCTTCCGAAGATTAATTTAATATCTCTAAAGATTCTCATTCTCAGCGGATGCTCAAGTCTCAATGAATTTCAGCTAATTTCTGAAAGCTTAGAATTTCTTCACCTAGATGGAACATCAATCAAGAAGCTTCCTCCGACTATCAAGAACCTCCAAAGTCTTGTCTTCCTAAACATGAGGAACTGCAAATTGTTGAAGTTTCTTCCCAACTGTCTTTTCCAGTTGAAATTTATCGAGAAGCTAATTCTCTCAGGTTGTTCGATGCTTAAGAATTTACCTTATATCAGGCAGAGCATGAAAAATCTCCAGACAGGAGCAGAAGAGATACCAAAAATATCATACTTTATTAGATTTGAAGGCCAGGATACTGAATATATGTTATTACCACTCTATGAGTCGTTTTACAACTCGCCGCACAGTTTTAACAGAGTATCATTGCTGCAACGTTTATGTTTGAGCGGGAATGAGTTTGTCAGCATGCAAACTAACATCGGAAAATTATATCACCTCAAATGGCCTGATGTGAAGCATTGCAAGAAGCTGAGATTTATTCCTGTGCTTCCATCAAGACTTGAATACTTTCATGCAGATGGCTGTGATTCTTTGGAAAAAGTTGCAAATCCGCTGGCTTTTCCAGTGGCGACGGAGCAGATCCATGCCACATTCAATTTTTCCAACTGCAACAAGCTTGATCTAGACGCAAAAGATCGCATAATCTATTATACTCGACGGAAAATACAGTTAGTGCTAGATGTACTCTCTCAATACCATGAGGTTTGTTTCTTTATCTATGTCTCTATTCACTCTTACTCGCATCATATGTGGCTTTATGACTTTGGTTTGCCACTATTTTTTGTAGGGCATTGCTTCAGAAGCTTTGATTGTAACGTGCTTTCCTAGTTGGGAAGTACCCCTATGGTTTAGTCACTGAGCATTTGGATCAGTGTTAAAATCAAATCTGCCTCCACATTGGTGTGACAACAGGTTTACTGGGATAGCTCTTTGTGCTGTTATCCAGTTTCCTTGTTACAATGACCACAGTAATCTCTCTGTGAAATGTAACGGTGCGTTCAAGAATGAAGAGGAAAATAAGCTTCCCTTTAGTTGCACTATTGGAGTTCGGAGAGCGAATCAAAGAACAAACTGCACAAAGTTGAGTCGTCTCATGTTTTTATTGGCTTTGTTTGTAGATCGGATGTCAACAAAGAAGAGGAAAGATGCGCATTTAATGAAATTTCACTCGAGTTTCAAGTGATAGAAGTGTGACTTTAATTTGGTATATGCACCAGAAGAAAGGGAGAACATATGTTGGGATGAAACGACTGTTGCAACGGTAGTTAGTGTTGTGAACATCCCTGGCGAAGCACCAAAACTACTTGAAAAGTCCCGGAGTGATAGTGATATCCAGTATCAGTCAGACTATTGTCTAGCAGAAGCAAAATCTTATGGAAACTTGAGAAGGAATAATAATAACGTCATATACCAGTCTTCCCACAGTTTGAATCCAGAGAGAGCCAATAACGTTCTAGGTGAAGTCACTCATCTTGGAAAGTTCCGAAGGAATAAGATTGACTATAGTCAAATCCCAAAGAGGGTCATCACGTAGCAAGATGCATGCATGCAGAGTCCTCTCGAATTGTAAGTCTTACTGCATTCTAAAATTTGGCTTAGCTACATTCTTACTGCATTCCAACTCTAAAACTGCATTAACTGGTGATCATAAAAATAACAATAGGAATAAATAGGAAAAGGAATAAAAGAAATAAAATAATAAGAATTATTGTTTCTTATCAGTTTTTATAGGAAATATATTAATATTATAATTTCCTAAAACATAAAGAATGAAAAAGAATCATGAGTACAATATATTCCTTTTAAGTGGTGAAATTTTTAAGGAATGATAAAGAATTTAGTATTCTTTTCTATTTTTTATGGTCACCAATTAGAGCCTTACATCCACATAAGTTTTTTTTCATCTAGGAAAAAAATCGACTGAATATATATTAACACAAATGATAAAAAGAAATGAGAAAGTCGACATAATTCGTATACCACATCACATGGACATGGGTTTTAGATTTAATATTTATATGAAGATTTAAATTGAATATCAAATGTTCAAACAATTGAAAGAAATTATATGTCATCGGTTCCGGTTTATAAGATATTTAAGCAGTTCACTTTTCTTTTGTAATGGAGAGACTAAGAACACATTAATTTTGTGGCAAATAACAAATTTGTGTTCTTTTCTAAAATTATTCCCTAAGCGGAGCAAGACAATAACCAGGCCTGTCGATGGAGAAATCCCATAGAGGAGTAAGGAGGAAACTTAAGTTCAAAAAAAAAAAAAAGTAAGGAGGAAACTTGCAGAGAAATGAGGTGACGACAGACTCAAACTAATCCGGAGTAGCAAAGAAGTTAAACTTAAAGTAAACTCCACTGTAAATACAAGTATCAGTAAAAATATCAACTGCGACAAAGAAAAACAGCAAAATTAACATAAATAAATGTAAATAATAAACGTAAAGTTCGAGTACAAAACAAGAGGAGTAAGATGAGAAAAAGAACAACACATTCTTATCAGTTATCACACTGATATACTACTACGTCCAAACTCATTTCTGTTTTTACTGTTATTGAACGCTTATAAACTGAAATATTAAACTCATTGTTGGCACTAATTATTGAACCATAAAATCACTACTACGGTTTTGATTAACAGTTGTGGGTTTTAGAGAAAAAATACTTTTATTGATAGCTCAAAGATAAAACGATTACAAGAGATGGTTTAACCGAGAAGTTATGCCGAAGTGAAAAGAAACTGTTCTTTAGATAAACTAGAAAGCGTTGGAGTTCTTGGTTTTAGCTCTGCTGCTCTCTAGGTTGTATGAATTGTTATTCTTGAACTCCGGAGTCTTCTTATTTATAGGAATAGGAGGTCGGTTGTTCTGAGCTCCTTTTTCTTTTCTCCTTTGGTGAATATTTCCATATTTGCGATATGGAAATATCCTTTATTTTCCGAAGAATATAGAAATTCTCCTTTATCCTTGAATATTCCTTTGAGCTGATCCGACTCTTTGGGAGTTTTGAGATTATCTTTGATACAAGCATGGAGTCCACCAAACTTATAACACAAGATTTCAAGATCCGCAGCTTCAATGGAAAATGGAAGAGTTGCTGAATGATTCCACAATCAGCACTTGAGCAAGACAACTTGATTCCACAAGTGATCTAGACAAGATGTATCGAAGGCACCACAGAGAGTATGGGAGATTCTCTGATAAAGCAAAGCTGGCACAGCTCTAAGTGATTCCACACAAAGAACAACAGCAAAAGACTCAACAAGAACAATCTTGTATAATAACAAAAACAGGATTTATTTTATTGATCAAAAGTTAATAATACAATGCTGTGAGATGGGACTTTATAAACAGTCCAAACAGTTATGCCCTTCTAGGAGACTTTGAAGCAAATTACAATGAATGAAAACTACATTATTGGTGCTAATTTCGTGGCTAACAAATGCCTTAACTACTGAATAAATCAAAATAAAAGCTAGACCAAAAGAAGATCACCAAAAAGAGAAACACAAGGAAGTTAGTCAATAATTCAAATAAATGAAATACTTACCTTAGCAGCTTGTGGACGTGTAGTCAAGTAAGGAAAGAGTATTTGCTGCCTCCATTCTCCTTGGTTTGAAATGTCAAGACTCAAAACAACAAGACTTTCAAAAGAAAACTACAAGACATTTAAAATACAAGGAAATGAAAGTTTGCTAAAATAAAAAGAAAACTATCTAAAATATTAGTCCTTTCAACTTGAATGTTCAGGGAGAATATTAGTCCTTTCAACTTGGATTCTTTGATGAATTCTTCCTCTTGAGTCTTCTTGAAGTTAAAGTGGTTAAAATCTTCAAGTGTTTCCCGTGGTTATCTTTAGTTTTCACTTCTTGCTCCATTTGTTCTCTATTGGCTTCATAGGTTATTTTGGGGATATCTTGAAACTCCGTAATGATCTCTAAGAAATTCTTGGTGCCTTGAACTCCATATCCTATCAAGTAAACATTCTTACCTTTTTTGGTTTGAAGCTGAGCCTTCTTGATCCTTGAAAGTGCAAAATTCATCTTTATGTCTAATTCAGGTGTCTTGGAGCTCTCTTGATAGATACATGGTCTGATGACCTCATCAATCCTCGAGGTTTTCCTTTTTAGAGCTACGTCGGCATAGTCTTCTTGGTCTTGATGGGCTTAGGTTATTGCTAGAGAAAGTCTTTTTAGGAAATGTGCTGATTTCCCTTCTAACAGTAAGTCCCCTCCTCAGTTTGGCGAGACTGATTGCAAATCAGGTTGGTGGACTTCATGAATTGAATGGGTTTGATCTTGCAATAAGCATTTAGCTCGTCAAGAGCGTTTCTCCGTGATTGCCAGTTCGGCCCGTTTTTAAGTGGATTTGATGCGTGGTGCTTTCATTAGATAAAATTATATAAATAAGTGGCCCATTAGGGTTTTGCTTCGATTGGAAAAGGCGAAAGGTTTATCAGACGGCGAGTATATGCGAATCTCGACATACATCCTTTAAGGAAACTGTTGATATTTCTTCTGATTTTATTACTGAATATTTATCTCTTTGTCTTTCTTGTTCCAAAAAACTTTTACTTTCTTGAGATTTGCTTTGCAAAAATCATCTCTTTGCTACAATAATCTTCTTTACTCGCTGTTCTTTCTTGATTTTTCCAGAAATTTCTTCTTTTGAAAAATACCGATAGAATCGCATAATTTTTCTTTTGACGATGACAATGTCTCCCTCGCCGAGCGCGCAAGGCGGGCATGGAACAATCCAGTTCCTTCTTCTCCCTTGAATTCTGAGAGGTCTTTGGGCTATCGAGATGCAATCTCGCCGGATAGTTCCGCATAGATTCCGAAATGGAATCAGAGGGTTTCGAGCCAACAAGCCGGGTCAAGGGTCTTCTGCTTCCTTTATTTTGGCAGTATCGATCAGCCTCAGGAAGGACCCGTTTGGCCTTGATGTTGACATCCAGAAGCTGCGCAATCTAAGCCAAGAACTGTGGCCCGAAAGGAGAAAAAGGGGCCCTCCGAGAAGAGGAAGAAGTCAGCCAAGCCAGCCGAGAAGAGTGCAAAGTCTTCGAAAGCAGGTGCGTTGCTGGATCGAAGTGACTTTGTGTGCGTGTTTTCCTTTGAAACATGGTACCTTATTTGTCGCACATTTTGATATTTTTAACCGCTAAGGAGACGTCGCAGTCGAGACCTGAAGGGATAGGTCAAAAGAGGAGAAGAGCGACTCCGATGGCGGAAGTAGACATTCCCGCTAGTACCTCCTCGAAGCGGAGGAGAAAGAGTCCTCCGGCTGCACCTATCCAGGTGGATTCGAAAGAGACCGAGCTGGCTCCGGGGAATGAAGATGGTGCGAATGAATTTGCGAGTTACCGACCTATTCTTGATCGTATTTGTTGTTTTGGTGAGCTGACGTATCTCCTGACGCTTTTATTGCTATTTTTTAGCTTCTCCACGGCTGCAGCGCGGGAAAGGCTGAGGGGAGCCGAAGCTGAGAAGGCTGCAGAGACTCTGTTGGATGAGTCTGTTCGGGAAACTGGCTCTCAGGCTGCTGGTGTTGAAGGATCTCATGATGCCGAGGTGGCTTTTCAAGAGACTGACCTTCTGCCCGAGTGGTCTCCTCTTCTGCAGGATGCCGGTACTCAAGGTACTGAAGACGCGAACCATTGTGAGACCGGAGGTGCTGTGCCGGATGTTTTTGCTGAGCCTAAGCAGGATGAGAAATTCTTCGATTGCAATCCTCATCACTTCATCTTGAAGTGGGATAGGGCTACTCCGGCGATGCTCGATCGCGAGTTTGTCATAAAGCTTATTTGGAAGTGCAAGAAGAATCCAAAGTGGGGCACTCCTCTGCGGGCGACAATGCTGGCAGAGTCGATTACTTCAGCGAATCACCTGATTGGCCAGGTATTTTGTATGAGATTTTTCGGTTATTTCGTCTGAATGCGTGTTCTAAAATGGATTGTGATGCAGGGACTCATAGCGTATATGTCTGCGTTTCAGACATATGACATAGATCTCCGCAAAGAGGAGATGAAATTGGACTGTGTGTACACAGAGTTCGAGAAGCTGTAAAAACTCAAGGAGGAAGCTGAGCAGCTCAGGGCGAAGTGCCCTCGTCTCGAAGGCACAATAGATGTCCTCAAGCTGGAGGTGGCAGAGTCATCTCGACTTTGCAAATGAGTCTCTCGAAAAGCAAAACAAGGAGAATACGCCAAGGTTCCGTGCCGAGAAGGAGAAGCTTCAAGGTTCCCGCGATGAGGTGGTGCGAGATGTCGCTGGCAAGGTTTTTGATAGCATGACCTCTTGGTTTAAGCCGCAAATGGAGTGGGTTCAAGGGTCGCTTGTCCAGCAAGAGGAGGTCAAAGCTGCCTTGACTAGCCTGGAAAAGAACGGCGCTATGGTGATGTACCTGAAGAAGATGCAGGAAAAGGGATGGGAAATTCCCGCTGAAACGCTTCCATCCTTTGAGAAGGAGTTCGTGAAATGGCAGGCGGCCAGCAAAACTATCGATGAGATTGTCATTACTGAAGACGATCTCACTTTGCCGAGCAGGTCTGTTCCATCCGCTCATTCTTTTTGGTGATAAGAGGTTCTCTCTTGTTGGTTTCCTTATAGTTTGCGTTTCTGTGAACAGGTCTGCTATCGAAGAGCTGCTGAAACAAGCGCAAGGAGAGATGCCGGTGCCAAGAGATAATCCGAACTGAGCCTGCTATCTCTTTTTTTGTTGTATTTTATTGGCCTCTGCGTGGCCTTTTTATGTAATAACATTGCCCGAAAAGGGTTTTTCTTATTTATTCAATGAATTTAGCTTTTAGCGAGAGTAAATTGATGTTACTTCTTGTTTTTTTAAAGTCTTTGCAATGCGATGTAACTTTATAGTATGGTGTTGGAAGCGGGATTCCTTTGCCCGTCTTATACCAAACGACAACAAGATCAAATACGAAGCTTTCAAGATTCACTTTGGCCTGAAAGGTATGATCGAGGGTCGTGCGAGTATTGTCCTCGGCTTTTGTCTTTTCTAATTCAGAAGTAGTTAAATCAAGCCGAAGTATCAAAGGAGTGGTGATCAGCCACATAATTTACTTTTTGTTTTTTTTTGCTTTTTTTTAGTCAAATGTTTGGCCAGAACATCGATTTAGCAAGATGCATTTGCATAAGGAAGATTGCTCTATGTGCCGAGCTGATTTTCCAAAAAATAAAAATTTATTATATTCACAGTTGCCTACGTACCCAAGTCAGGATCAAGCCGTTCGTAGTTCTTTACAATTATTAGATGAGCGTTGTCACTCAGAGGCCAAACCGGCCTTTATTGGTGTTGAAAATAAAAAACTGAATATAAAAGCTGCGAGATTCTTGCTGAATCTACTCCGTTTGTTTAGCATCTTCGAGGGCTTTTACTGCACTGAGTCGCACCTTGCGTTCGCTGATGAAGCAAGATCTTGCCATCTGCGGATTGTCGCGAAGTGTGAAGATGCCAACCCAGGTAGCAAATTTCATGCACTGATGGTAAGTTGGCACGATGGCTTTCATCTCGTGAATCCATGGCGTGCCAAGTATGAAATTATAGATTGTTGGTTTATCCATGACGGTGAATTTGACAATCTTTGTAACTACGCCGTCGTAAACTATCAGACGTATGGTGCTGAGGCTAAATAAAGATTTGTTGACAAAGCCGGTTAGTGGCTTTGGTGCTGCCTTAATATCTTCGTCGCGGAGCCCCATCTT